CTGCATAATGCTACAGTATATTCTAGCTAGCTTAATCCTCTCAGAGCAGTTTTATGAGTAAAACATTAATAAATACAAATGTTTTTTAAAGACACATGCTAATATCTTTGTCCTCTGCACACCCAGGGACTCGTTATGTTCAGTGTGTCTCAGCGGCTGATAACTGCACAGCTTCTTCCCCATTTCATAGACACTGTTGTAACAAATTACACAGAAAGTAAAAGTAGAGCATTGTACACTTCTTAAGACGGCCTGCGTACAAATGTGCCGTATTGTAGAGAGACGCCGCCGCCGGTAATGGCGACACGTGCCCGCCGTTAAACTGCCAAAAAGAAAACACAGAGACGAAGAGAAAAGTTACCGAGGTTGGCGTCTGAACGTCACCGGGGGCCACGAGATCTCAACTAAAATATGAAGCTCAACAAAAAGTTCAATTCAGTTTATCTGCAAGAAAAGTTCATTTTGGAATACAACCTATTTGAAATATTAGTAACCGCCATAAAGAAACCAAGTGAATTATTTTCTATTTTATAAAAACAATTATTTGATCAAATTAAGTCTTTAAGAGCTTTATGTTCTTCGGACACGAATCTTTCTCTCCCTTCGTCCTCTGAGGCTTTCAGTCCGTCCAGCAACAGGAAATAGCAGCATTGTTTACTGCGAGCAGCTGGAGGGTAAATCCAGACAGCAGGAGGAAGGAAGAGATAGCAGACAGAGAGAGAGAGAGAGACTACACTCTCCTGGGATTGAGTGGGGTCAGAGGCTAACACACTTCATAATGCCCCCGGCCCGGTCCGGTCTATCTGACGGAGAGAGAGTGCAAACGAGACAAAGATCAGGGAGGAAAATCCATCGAATCTCGGAAGGAAAGACGTTTTTTTCCTCCACGAAAGAAGTGAACCTATGAAGACAATGGTGGCGCTGTTCGTCCAGCCGGTTTCAGTCGGCGTGCGAGGCGTGAACGGAGAGCGGTACCTGTTTGCGGGCCTGGTTGAGGCCATGCAGGCGCTGCTGGAGTTCACTGCGGTAGTTCTGGGCCGCCTCGATGCTTTCCTTCGCCTCCTGCAGCAACACGTCGACCTCCGCAGACATCCTCCCGCCTCCTGACGCAAACAGAAAACACACACAAACAAACAAACGTGTTTACTCAAAGGACATCAGTGTAAATAAAACTGCTGCTTCGTTATTTATCTTCAGTTAAATGGGGAAATGATTGATTACTGATCTATTTTCTTGTTTTTGAGGCTTTATTCTTTGCTTATATTCTTCGTTTTCATTAGAACTACTTTCTACCAAAGAAAATACATTTTAGTCTATTTATTGGACCTGTTTACCTGCGTGTCGGAGCAGAGAGAGAGGGTGAGCTCACATTTCATCCACCTTTAACTTCTTATTCTGGATATTGTACAGTAATTATTTGAAACAAAACACATCCTGAAGTTGGATTATTCAGCGGTGCGTCACTCAGGTGTGGATCTTTTCTCTGTCTCAGTGGTTAAAAGAAGTCGCTCCGCAGTGGATCAACCAGTAAAACAGGACGTTACTGCGGTTTAAAGCACAGAGTGAAGTTCATCCAGATCCACCTCGTATCGGGGGGGCAGCAGAAACCTCAAAGGAAGACATCTCCAAAACCTCAGCAGATAAACTTAAAACTATCTGCATGGTTACGTAGTAAAATGTTTGTTGTAATTTGAGGGAACCACGAAAGTAATTCAGATATAATATAAGTATAAAAAGTCTGTATCTGCCAACAGGGTTGTATAAAATAAAGCGAGTTGGGTTTATTACTATACAGTAACGGCACAGTTTAGGTATAGTACGATAATCTATCATATAAAATTGGAGCTGAACAATATGATGAAATCACCACATTGTGATAGTTTTTTACTGATGTTGTGATATGACTGTGCAGGAATTATCATTTTTGCATCAAAAATTACATTTTTACTGAAATGTTTTCTTAAATCTGAAGAACAAGATCTGTAGACCAAAGCATCACTGCAGTATAATAATGATATAATATCCATAAAATATGTCAGTTTAATAAATTATACAAAAGTTCCCTTAAGGAAAAAGGTTGGGAACCACTGAGATAATAACATGCAAGCTTTATGCAGATTAAATAAGTGAAATTCAGGTTTTCTCTAATAAAGTTATAAAATAATCACCAGAGAACATTCACAATGAAATACAATTAAAGACTTTTGTCATAAACTTGTAACTGTATCATCATTCCTACAGATTTACTTATATTTCACTATAGTTCCTCTGCCTCCAACTGAAGCAGTATTTCTGATAAATGTATAATCTAACACAGTCTGAAGTTTGTTTGCATGGACATTATGAAAGCCACCACCGAATGACAAGCACAGAAACACTCACAGACCTCTGGGGCTTTCAGGCGAAATATCAAACGGTAAAAGCTCCATCTCCCCTCTGCAGACAGACAGACAGAATCTGCTGTCAACAGACAACAAGTGCAGAATCATTTACTCTACACAAAGAAAAAGCTTTGTATGATAACTTCATTACAAACTCGATAGCATTAAAAGCCTGGACACCGTTTATAAAAGATCATCATCATCTTACCTGAATACGACAGTCTGACTTTTCGCTGCTCAGTGATGCAGAACTTCCTCTCAGGTCCATGTTTTGCCTTTTCAAGAGCAGACGACCTTTTTTTCCGATTATAACGGAGATTATTATCGCTTCAATTAAGGTACATCAGATCCCTTTCATTAAAAATATAAATTGTACACAGGATAGGAAAAGAATGCCAAAGGGACCTGTTTATAGTCACCTCTGTGGCAATAAACAAACATCTGAACAGAAAACATAAGAAACATAATTGTCTTTGTTGCCAAGGTAACAACCTCCTAATTAAAGATTCATTAAAGAAGCTCTTGTTTTAATTGCTTGTTTGTGTGTGTGATGTGCTGTTAATACTTGGAGCGCAAGTTTGACATTAACGCAAAAGACTGCAATATTCTAAAATAAAATATAATATCCAATAGTCCTCTTCTGGCGGAGTCCTCCATGTTCCTACAGTAGCCCAGAACGGACAAACCAAACACTGACTCTAGACAGAGCTATTCATGTTATAGCGCATTTCACGGCCACCATGGGGGGCCCTGGGGCCATTTCCAGCCATCTAGCCCCCTCTTTCATCATGTGACATGACATCAAGTATATAATCTGATAATTATTTGTGATTGTTTTATATCAATTTAAACTATCCCTATATTTACAATAAAATAAAAACACAATTATATTTTGTTCATTTGTCAAAATGGTGAAGTGTGTTGATTGTTAAATATTTGAAAGAAAACTTAAGACAGACAGAATATATTTTAAAAAGTTCAGTAAAACTCATCTTTGATGCATTATTGACATTGAATATATTATAAAACATTCATAAAATGTCACTAAGTCAGGTTTTATCACTTTTGTCTTCTATGGCCTGTACACATATATGGTATCTATATATGAATGAATGCAGTCTGCATTTAAATGTAATAAAGATCAAACTCTAAAAAATGAATCTCATGAACTGGATGATTTTACAGTTTTAACAAACAATCCCTCTTTATAAAAATGATAAAAAATGAAATCCCATTTTTGGAAAACTTTTTTTAATTTTTAATGATATTTGAGGTCAAAATCTTGATGATATTTATACAGAATCAACAAAGTCTCACATTATTCATCTTTCACAGTTTCATGACAACTTCCATGTTATCATATTCACAAAACTATAGGACAGTAAAGGCCGTGTTTTTCAAAGAAATCTCACATCCATCATAAAGTGACAAACAAAGAGCAAATGTCTTCTTTTATGTTTTTTACTCTTTAATGTCACAGGTACCATTTTTACAAATTTGGTTATTCATCTAATCAGTGTGAGAATGTCACCCGTAAGACATTTAACTGTAAATTTACAGTAATTAACTTCGGCAGCAAAGTTCTGTCCTTTTTTACTGTTTCTTACAGTATTTTAGAATTACAGTGTTACTAGAAATAAAATTACAGTTTATTACTGTATTCTTG